TAGCTTAAGGAATCCTTTAGTTTTCCCTGTCCCRACAGCAGTGCTTACCTGTTGGATGGAGCTGTCTGCATCCAGAGCTTACAGAGGGACGTGTTTTCACAGCTACTGCTGAAGGTAAAGGAAGGGCAAAGTATTGTGTTGTGAAATGATGTTACTGGTAGACTTCACTGAGAAAATACTGTGCAAATTTAACATTTTTATGCTTTTCCAGCAATTGGTGTGCCAGCCTTCCCAGGGCATTGTAATACCATTTGCATCTCTTAACATCCATAATTAATATGAGTGCAGCATCATTTTAAAGACAGAAGATGATGAATTACAATTTTATTTCTGTTATGTATAGTACCCTTCAGCCACATTATTCTTAGATCCCAGATGTTTTATAACTTTTTGATAATAGCACAGGGCGTTTTATCCTTGAAATTAGGGTTACATCTTTGTAAAGAAGAAATGCATTCTTTCCATCCTTAAATAAGTTAAAAAACAAGATATTGAGCCGTTTATGATTCTACCATAGATACTTTAAAACCAAATGCTTGCGCACATGCAAAGCATTGATGAGCTGTATAGAGAGGCAGGTCAAAATTATGTTCTGTGTTGCAGATGTGGCCTAGGATCCTTAGGCAGAGCAGGGGGAAGCATCGCCCTCAAAGCTGAGCTTTTAGCTTGAAAATAAGCTTGAGTCGAAGAACACTATGGTTTTACTGTTTTGATTGAAGAAGCTATTAGCTGGTAGTACATGAGAGAGTTTTAAAAGAAATTGATTTGCTTACTAACAATGTTTTCTTGCTTGAATAAGAGTTTAATCATATTGGTGGGAAGCAAAATAGATGAACCTTTAACATTACATGGTAGAGAAGGGGTGATTAAAATCCATTAGCTTACAGTTTAGAAGACAGAAATTTAGATTAAGCACAACTGAAACATCAATTTAATCTAATTCTGTTGAAGCCATGGGGATAATCTGCTGCAGCAGTAGTAATCTTATTCCTCATTTACAGTTATCAGAAGAGTACAATAATATCAATACAACTCTAGTGTATAAGTCATCGATGTATTTCCTTCTTTGCACCAAATGCAAATATGCAATTTCAATTACAAAATGTTGTCCTCCTCCTGTCACACAGCATTTTCTTCACCCTCTGCCTGTCAAATAAATAAAAAAATAAATAAATATCTAGATTTAGCTTTCTAATGCCAAGGAAGTGAGATGCCTAGCAGTTGAATGCCTACTTAGAACAGGTTTGCGAAAATGAAAACTTCCTCAGCAGCTGGTGTAGAGATAGACCACATTTTTCTTTGAGCATATTCCACTTTTTTATTTTTTTTTCCCTCCAGGAAATGTGGAAAAGCTCAAGTCACATATGTACTTTTCACCTTCTGCCAAGACTCATGTCTCTGTTCATATCTCTTTTCTGGCACATTCAAAGCAGAGACAGAACCGTAGGTTGTCCTTTCCCTTTTGCACTGCTTTCCCCACTAAAAGAAAGATCACTTAGGGAATTTCTCTTTCTCTGTTGTTGACATGGTTCCATGATGTATAAATACTTCAGTTTTCACTGCACTGCTGAGAGAAAATGTGATTTTGTGATATTCTTGCCTGTTGAATTGGGCACTTGATAGGGAAGGCACTCTCGGTTGTTAAATAATTAATTCCAGAATTCCAGAACAAGTCGAGGATGCCACAGATGGAACACCTAGACTCCAAAATTGGTCCCCGTGTTAGAATCCAGATGTCTCTGCACATGTACGTTGGCATCTATCACATATGAGCCCTCCTACATGTATTGCCTAAATGAAGAGTTGTACCTTCTGTGTTGACTCTGAGCTGCCGCTCTTATTTACATCAGCATTTACACAGGGCRGTTCCTGGGGTGGAAAGAGGCTGTTTAAAAGGCTGTATTTGACTTGGCATAGCCTGAAGTGAAAGAGGACTAAGCTACTTATAATGCTGCCTTGTGTGTTTGGGCTGAGAGCTGGTGACCACACAGTTACTGTGGCTCAGCTGACCTGGGTAATGCRTGATGCGGTTGTTGCAGCTCTGTGTAGCTGAGGTCTGACTGCACATTCTCACTGAATATCTTTATTAATGTTTGCAGTAGACTGTGCAAAAYCCATGTTGGCTTTAGCTTGCTTGGTAATATACAGACTGTGAAGATCAGATGCATGATAGTTTTGGAGATGATTCTGGCTGCATACCTAGATACCATGGAGGTGAACTCTAAGCAACGCTAGCAGTGTTGTTAATACTTCTTCTTACAAATGAAATGCCCTTCTGTTTGCATGGCTGGTAAATTTATCCAGTAGTTGTGCACCAGGGAATAGTCTTGAGATCAAGATCAACACATCTTGGGATGCGTTGGGTTGCTAAGGCTTTCTGTTGATGGCATCTATTGTTCTGTTATTTCAGAGACCAACATTATATATCTGCTTTGGTGATGTAAATCCATGAAAAAATTACTGTCTGAAAAATTAGTGGTACATAATGCCCTCAGGTAGTTTACCCTAATGATTTTTATATATGTATATATATATATTTATAATTTAAGGTTAAAATGGATCTCCAAAAGAATTATATTGCTGTACAAAAGCAGTGTGATTATTCACCAGATATTGTATTTAGAGCACAATTTCTTTAAAGGAAAACAAATTCTGTTATTTTTCTCATCTACAAAAAAAATCAAGTAATTAGTGTGTGTCAGAGTAATTATTCTTACAAAAGCTAAAAATCAAATACAGCATAGTTCCTTCCATGGTTACATGCATTACTTCTAAAGGTCATCATTTAGCTGTATACTTCCTTTTATTGCACTTTCTTGAAAAATAAAAAGGGGGGGAGATTGAAGGATGAAAATTTGGCGCTCTCTAATGCTTAATAAACTTAACCTTTATCATGATGCTGAACTTGATGATCCTGTATGAAAGAAGAGTTCATGCTGCTTCAGAGGCATTTGTGCTGACTGTTAGTTAGGCATTTTTATTTGCTTTATGGGTAGTACAAGGAATATTTATTAAAATTCTTCAGAGAACAGTAAATATAAGAGAAGTTAAAGCAGCTGAATAGGGGAGGGATAGCTCCTTGAGAAGGAGGGTATGTGTGGATACCATCCGCCATAGGGGATGCATATGGACTTTGAGAAGATGTCTTTGTGAGCAGTCGTCCTGATGTCTGATTCTGCACGTTTTTACATTTGTAAGATGAAGACTGAGCTAGAAACATGATTTATGAAGAATTTGATCCGGGACTTTGCCCTGTAACAAATGGTTAAAAATTGACATAACAGAAGAAAAATCCTGGAATTTTTTTGCTCATATGCTCGTGTTAAAATGTGTCTGGAAAAACAATGATTTTGAAAAGTGAAAAAAGAAAGCTGTAAAATATACTTTACATAGGGGTATTCTTAAAGCCCATCAAACTCAAAGCTTTGAAATTTCATCTCCGATCAGGTATCTTTTATTGCTGCATTGTAGGGAGTTAAGTATCTGTTCTCAAGCAGACTATAATTCTTCTTCATATATGATATGCTAAGTTGCTCTAGGAGGTAGCTAGAGAATGAAATTGTTTTTCTTTTATTACTGATCCAGAAGTAGTGCCCAGAAACTTACTGGTTCCATAAGCACTACTGATGCTTCATTAAAATCATGCTAACCATGATGGATTGCAGGATGCTGTCTTTTACCYCATGGTTCTCATCTATATTAAAATGAAGTTCTTGTTTTGATAATTGAATATTAGAGTATTCATCAGCAGACTAGATCCTTAGCAAATATAAATTGAGGTTTTATWTGCAGCAGATGTTGATCTTGCCCCGAATAGGTATCCTTTTCAAGGCTTTTCTCCTAAAAAGACTGACTTTGCTGCACTGTGCTGACTGCAGTAAGTGGGTCCTACCTCTTAGGACAGGTTGGCCTCCTGTCAAGGGGTTAGGGAAGATCCTAGTGAATTAAGTGCAGAAACATCAAATGTTTGGCGGGAAGCAGAGGTGAGAAGGTGGTTTGTACTTCTTCCCTACCACRCTCACGGGTATGTGCTAATACTGTCCTGGCTGCATCATAGGTGTGAGCATCTCCTTATAGGTCTCCTTTACTAACAACTTTTTACAAAATATGTAATACATATAATGAGTAAACTAGACTAGATAAATAACCTCATCTGATCTGTTTGGCAGGAGAAGCTAATTAGAAGCAGCAGATGCCTATGAGATACAGGCAGAAAAAATAGGTCATTAAGAAAAAAAAAAGAGGACGCGAACACAGTAAGAACACAGTTAGTTGGAAGAGTCCATCAGGAGTGATAGCTGAAGGTCTGATTCATGGAAAAATTCAAACACAAGTGGACATTTAAGACTGTTTCCTGTTAAGTGAACCTCAGCGTTCAGTGGAAAGGCCAGTGGATGATTAGCTCTGGAAATATGCTGGCATTATCATGAGTAAAGCTAGAGTTGTGAAAGTTAGCTCTCAGAAAAAGGGGGTCATCACYAAATATCTTGTGAGTTTTTCCCCTCGGCAGGCAGCTAAGTGCTGCTCAGAGAAGCCTCTGGAGATGATGAGTGCACTTACCTTTCATGAAGGAGAATAGGGGTCATAAGAAAGAGAACCAAGTCACCCCTAAGAAAGAGGACTGAGTCACCTCTGATCTCCTTTCTGCCTCCTCTCATCTTGCGTCTCTGTCCATCGTTGCCCAGCCGTTGTGCTGCAGTTCCTTTACACTGCTGTACATAGTAAAGAAATGGTCCTAAGAACCCAGCCTGACTTTTCCATTGTTCCAGAGAAAACCAAGTGTGAGGCAGGGCCAGTGTGGGAAATCAGGATGTCTGGACAAAGAACCTTGACCAGTTGTCCCCTCATTGCATGTAGCAATATTAGCAATTAGCACCAAAAAAAAAGGTATCAGTGGGGAAATGTTGCTCTCCGAAGCCATCTCACCTGCATATTTGTCTTGGTGTCACTCACACTTAATATCCTGACTCGCGTGTCAGCTTAAACCGCTACCTCCCTACATGTACTGGGAAGATTCTTATGTTAAAACCTCTTTTGTCATTGCCAGCTTTGGTGTGAAAACCATCCGTCAGCCTCACTGGTGGCAGGCAGCTGCGCTCTCTGTGTCAACATGTAATGCCCCTGGTGAGTGGGTCTGTGGTGGTGTATCCTTATTGTCCCTCAGGAAGCCACCAGGATCACAGTGTGTCGCTGCCTTGGCTTATGGCACCGTAGCAGTAGCTTCCTCCGTGGGCTGTAAAGCCTGATGCTTGCTCTGCATGAGCACATAGTGTATACAGAAGGCAAAAACCTGCTCTTCATCAGTGTTTATTTTCCTGCGAAATACATGCAAAACTTCTGCTGCCTTATGTTCCTTCAAGGATTTAAAAAGTAGATAGGATTTTAAAAAGTTGGGTATGACCCAACTGTACACATTTCTGTCCTGAGGTGTTCTYGGGGAGAAATGACTATTTCCTATGCATTTCTGACCACCAGATTTATGCAAATACTGTTGCAATTTCTAAAGCAGCTTTGGTCTGAATTCCTGGATGATAAATGCATGCAACTTCTTGCTAGCATGTTCAATGCTAAGCATTTTGCATTAAAAGCAGATTTAAATGTGTATTATTTGYGAAGCTGCCTTCAAAACATACCCAAAACGAGATATTACTCAATTTATGAAAGAGTCATTATTGTGAAAATGAAAATATTTTTTGCATGTTCCATATCTGGATATGCAATTGAGTGGTCATTCATATATTAAACATGTTTAACATGTTGTTAAACAAGCTACAACTCATTGGGTCTCAAGACTTGTGTAAAAGGACTCATTTCACTGAGAGACATTTATCAGATGGAAAAATCTGTAAAATATGGAGAATTTCTTTGTAACCATGTAATAAGGAAAGGTGAACTCTGTTCATGCAGAGTATCCTGTTCTGCTGCTGCAAATGTTCATACAACTCTGCCTGTAAGATATCAACACTGTTTTTCCATGGCTCACTACTTACATGAATAATCAGCTACCAGTCTTGCAATAGGCTTGATTTCGTAAAATTCAGTGCTGAAATGGTATTAGAGCTTGCAAATATTTCAGTCAGATTTAATATAACTTTTTTTATACTGTGCTGGAGTGAAGCCCTAGTCTGAAATAATTTAACATCATAAGTGGTTCTAAATGAATGCTCTTGCAGATGATTTCCATCACATTTATGGAATAAAAAAAAAAAAAAAAATCTATTCCCTCCTAAATAATCTTTAACTCTATTACCTTATGAGAAAACAGTCATTTCAGGTTTTAGCACCTGAGTGGTGCTGAGCTTCAGTGATACTCACAGGTAGGTAACAGCTTTGAAGAATAAAATTGCTGCCTTATCAGGAAGAAAAACCCTTTCAGTACAGGTTTAGGAGACTGTCTAATAGATTCGGGATAGCAGAATCCACTGTGCTAAAGCCTGATGCTGTAATGCTGTGGTCTACCACTTCGCCACTTTCTAGATGTGGATCTGAGATATCTATGTGTGTTATTTTTTGGTAAACATGCACAAATGCATATGCGTATATATACTCCTTCAAATGTCAACACTATGTTTTTATGTTTACTAGTTTACTAAATTATGATCCAGTTTTGGGTCATGGGCAAAGTGCAGATAAACCTTGAGCCCGAAGGTTATGGAAGACCTCAAGTGCTTTGTTTGCATAGCTCAAAGTTCAGGAGGAAAAGGGTTGGGTAGGTCCCAACCATTTGTCTGTTTGTGCCCTCATGTTCAGAGGAAACTAGATGAATTACTAAAACATCATCAGAGGCCTGCTGGAGAAACACAGCCCTGCTTGAAGTCTAGCTCTCTAAGCTCACGTGAACATCTTGAGCTTAAGTGGGAGAGAATAGTATCTGCCTACTTAACAATTTATTGCAATGTATTTAATATTGTGCTCTGAGCTGTTTCATGCTCTGAACCACATACCATTATAGTTTGAGAGGGGTTTTGCTTGGATGTTATAAAGACTTAGCATTTTTAAATGCATTTTGATGTATGTAACAATTGCTATGGGGAAAAAAATGATTCTTGATTTCTTAGTTTTCGATATGTTCTTTCATGGAAATGGAATACTTGAAAAGTTCCCACAGAGGTGTATCTGTAGCTTTTCTCTGATGTCAGTACTGAGGATGGAGACAGAAAGATGGAATTATTTTCCTTTGTTGAGAGTTGGGAAATCCCATAGCTTGCAGTGTATCTTGTGTAACACTTAGGGTTTGATTGAAGTAAAATGTATGAATTGAAAATTGCACTTTTTTGATGCTAGTTTTAGAAAATTCCAGATAATTAGTACACACTAGTTATCTTCTGTGGTGGGCAAGGTCAACTCTTATCTCCAGGCCTGTTGGAGACTGAGCCTTGGGTGTCTTTGTCGATGCATGTGCGTCTTCATCCTACTTTCCCTTAGATTAGAGGCTTTCCCTTAGATTTTGTAGATCATGTTAGCATTTGTAACAAGTAAAATGCAGAAAATCCTGTTTGTCAGCAATCTTTAATCACGCTGTTTAATCACACTGCTAAGTTAATTAAGTTTAATGTTTTTGTGATGCTTTGTGGTTCAGCCCTTAGGTTCAGATTGCTCTGTGATACTGAAAATATGTTCTGGACAAGAGGAAATAGCTCCAAGTTGTGCCAGGGGAAGTTCAGGTTGGGTATTACGAAAAACTTCTACACAGAAAGAGTAGTCCAGCATTGGAAGAGGCTGCCCGAGCAAGTGGTTGAGTCACAGTCCCTAGCAGCATCCAAGAAACGTRTAGATTAGGCACTTGGGGTTTAGCAGGCATGATRTTGAAGGGCTTCTGGTTAGACTTGATCATCTTGGAAGGTCTTTTCCCAACCATAATGGTTCTATGACACCTCCACCAGCAGTTACATGCTGGAACACTGCTTTTGTTGCTTAGTGAAACATTTTGTCAAGGAATATTCATGTGTGCGTGTCCTTGTCTCTTCATCTTCTGCGTGCTGGTGGCTCCTCYGTAGATCCTGCTTGCTCTCTCCTGTGTTTTCTTGTGTGGCACTGGCAGTTCTGATTTGCCCTTGTGACTCTCCAGGAGGTGTCTGAAGAGATGCTCAATACAGTATAGCAGAGATTTGTTTTTGCCCCTTTTAAGGCTATACGTTCAACTGCTATGTATGCAATGAAGATGTACATTAGAGTGCTGCTTGGTGTTGATGATAAAGTATTAAACAAGTAGCTCTRCAGTGAAGCTGAACTTTGAGACATCTCATTTGTTTTCCTTTTCGAGCATCTTTTCTCAGATATTCTTCTGAAGTTTAAGAACTTGACTATCTTATGAAAGTATGCATGGAAAAGCAATGTTTTCATTCTTTTTTTTTTTTTCTTGCTTTCTGTAGTTTTTGTTTTGTAATATCTGCCAACAGGTTGTCTAGGCTGACAAAATTATATATACGACAGTACAAAGTACAGGCTTTTGGTTGTCAGAGCAACCTATATATTTTGGAGCAGTGGGTAGCAGGGTGGATCCAGTGAGATTTCAAGGTGATTTACAGCAATGAGAGAGATGAGAATCCAGCCTGTATTACCACCCACAGGAGACATACAAATGGATTATGGAACTTTTTTTTTTTCCTCKTTTTTTTTTTTTTTTGAAGTGTTCCTTGAAGAAAGGAGGGGAAGTGAGGTTGTCTAACAGCATGCATTATCTTTTAAAATGATATAAGTTAAAGAGCTTTTAAAAGCAGTATTTCAAAAATTGCTTGAGGATGTTAATCTTCAGCTTTTTCCCTTTCAGCTAGTAATGATGATTGCTTATAATTCCTCGTATTTGAAAACCTTCTTCCTTGACAAAAAGAAAAAAACACAATGTTTGGAGCACTGGAGTTGCATATGCCAAGCTCTTCATTTCAGCACACGTCGCTGGAGCACGCAGGAACATTTTATGCATGTTTTAAGGTTGCCATTGAGCTTGTGGTACCGACAGCCCTGTGAGGCCTGGCGCAGGGAGGGCTGCTGCRGAGCTGGCCTAGCAACCCTTGCCTGCAACGTGAGCAAAATGTGCCCCTTTTTCCAAGGATTCCCTTCAGTGGGCGTGTTACTGGTTCAAGAGATGGGTTTTAAGTCACGTTGTGTGTAGGGAAGCATCCTTTGGTGGTAGGATCTTGGTGTGATAGTTGGCTCTGAAAAGTCTGTGTTCTGGGCCTTTAGATGTAGAAATCTATAAATGTGCCTTTCCACATTGAACATGTGCAAGTGTGGTTCAATGTGTAAAATTATCTGTCACAGTAACATATTCAGATGTGTTTTGTTGAGGCATACTAGGGGCATATTAAATCCACCAAGAAATTTGTGCTTTTGAGTACTCTGGACTTTTAGTCTCTCTCTGAAGATGGGGATTTAGCAGTTTGATTTTACCAGGATAAATCAGAAAGTTATATTAACCTACTCACRTCAGTTTAAAATGAATAAAAGCACTACTGCTTGTTTGAACGTGCCCTGTCTCACCCAAAGCTTAAAGTTGAAGGAACATATTTTGTTCCGWTTTCTTTATAACAGAGTAACCTTTTAGACTAGGAAGAGAACAAATCTGTAGCACGGTTGTACATCTAGATTTATATGAGAATGTGTCTGCTCAGTCCGTGCCAAATCAAAAGTATTATTTTCATAACAAATGGCAGCTAGAAAAGATTTATTGATTTCCTTACCTGGGTTTATTTGTCTGAATGCCTGAACAAACATGGGAAAGGCAAATGTAAAAATTGACAATGATATCTGGTCTGTAAAGAACAGAAGATAATAGGGTGAATTTTGGTCTATGTAGCAACAAATGTTATTCCACAAAGATCCTTCTCCAGAASAGCAGCAAACATATCTTTGGCCTCTTTTGATTAGTAACGAGTTTAATAAGTGAATTTAATTAACGGGATGGCATTAATTGTTGGATTCCTTTCCTCTCTCTCTCTTCTTCCTCCTCGCCTCCAAGAATTTCATAGTGCTTTATGAAATCTTTGGAGGTATTTTTAGATCTGTGGACATAACTGCTGACATCTCTTTTCCTGCTGAAAACAAGACGTTGTTCTCAGTTTTTGTTGCTGAAATGCTCCTTTTCAAGTCATTAAATATGGCTTTGCTGCTACTCCAGTAGTCCTTTTGGACCAGTGGGATCGATTGGAAAATACCCTACTCTGTAAGGAATTAATTACAGGTGGTCTGTAAATGCCATGGTTTGGTTTGCTTGCTTTAACCCTCCCACTTTGGGT